TTCAAAGTCGGAAACGGCATTCAAGTATTTTCGAAGATTATTTTCTTTCTCCACGCTCCCAACTGAAGACTTTTTAAATTGTTTGAATGCATTATTTTTTTTATTGAACAATTTCCTTAGAGAATCACTTCTCAGATTCTCTACATTACATTACCTTACCTTACCAAATATAAAAATCTCTGAACTTCACAAGTTCTCTACATTACCTTGCCTTACCTTATCTAAAACTCTCTGAACTTCTCAGCTTCTCTACATTACCTTACCTTACCTTACCAGATATAAAAATCTCCGGGCTTCTCGACTTCTCTACATTACCTTACCTTACCACGCCACATGTAAAATTCGCAACTTCTCTACATTACCTTACCTTACCATATCTGGAATTCTCTGAACTTGCATTAGTATTCCTTAAGTTATCTTAATTCACTATTTATTGTGTTGTGCTGTTCTACCTTAGCTGACTGAAGGCTTACATTTATGTGCTTAGTCCCAGTTAAGGTGGCCTTTTTCTGACTTCTCAGAGAAAGAGTATTTTCTCCGCTCTCAGGTGATGGATGTCAGTACTGTACAAGCGGATCATTTGGGTTATGTGATTATAAAAAGTTATGTAAAGATAAAGGTATGATTCTTAATCGTTGTAATTAGACGTTTTTATTTGGCTGTATGTGGTACTGTTCAGATTCGCTAGCTGGTTGTTCGAGTTTTATAGGTGGTTGTCAAGCAGAATATGTGCGTGTCCCATTTGCTGATGTCAATACATTGAAAATTAGTACGGATATCGAAGATGAAAAAGTGTTATTTTTATCTGATATTGTTTGTAGCAGTAAGTAGTTCAAAACTATGAACTCGAACGTATTTTTATCTACCTGTATTTGTTTTTGTTTCGAGGTTGGCATGCAACAGCGGTAGGTAACGTTGAAGATGGAAAAACAGTTGCTGTTTGGGGCTGTGGTTCAGTTGGGTTAATGGCAATGATGTGGTCGAAATATAGGTGGGATCATCTGCTATTTTAGAGGATATTTCTCTGAACCTTGTTACATTCTGTTTCATAGAAATGCGAAAAAGATTGTTGGCATTGATTGCTACGTTTCGCGTCTTCGTAAAGCGGCACAATCACAGATAGACGTCATTGATTTAAACATACGGAATGTATTAGAAACATTACAAGAAAAGATTCCGGGTATGATTTGTTAAGTAGAAAGCTAAAATAACGGGCTAGTCTGATAAAAACATAAATTGGCGTATAATATTTTCTCTTTACAACCTAGCTACAGTGAACATTTTGGCGTATTTTTGATTGCCAACTTTTAGCAAGTTGATTAAATTTGCTGCAAGGCAGGTTTTTGAATCCCCAATCCAAAATTTGATTTTTTCATGCGAGATACGAGAAATGATTAAATGTTTTCTTCCATGTCAGTTGTCTTTATTCTTGTTTAACTTGTACTTTAGTGGTTATTTATATTTAGTGAACTTAATAAAAAAATATCTACTGTTAACAGTGTCAGTTTTTGCTAAAGTACTTAGGCTCCGTTAGACAGAGAACGATCTGATCAAGGAAATTCTTGGCCAATTCATGTTCTTCAGCGAATATATTTTCAACTAGTAATCTCCCTTTCTTTAATTTTAAGGAGGTCCCGATATTTGTATTGTTGCGATAGACTTTCAGTTTGTCAAAGGTATGTATTGGTCTGTATTAACTTTTTTAACAGTTGAAAATGCTCTAATTACGAGGAGAGAAGTTAGAGCTTGTAAGAGACTTTTCGATCATTTTAAGTAAATATTCGTTCGTCTTTTAAGGTCGTAGTGATGCATTAAAACGTGCTGTTCAGTTGGAAACTGATATTCCCGAAATATTGAGAGAAGTATGTTAGCATTGCAGTTCTGTGTGTTAAATTACGATTTATTTTTCTTTTAAGGCTATCATGGCCTGCAAAAAAGGAGGCATAATATCCGTAGTTGGAGAATATTCGTCGACACTCCAAGAGTTTTCATGTGGTGAGTGTTAAAGAATAACGGACGTTACTCAAATTTATTTAATATCTATTTCATTCTTCCATTGCTTAGATCTTCTACTAGAAAACAGCTTAACAATCAGCGTTGACCAAATTCATCCCCAAAGATACTGGAAGGAGCTACTGAAAATAATCGAAGACGATAGATTTAATCCATCATTTATAATTACGCATGTAAAGGCATTGGAAAATGGTGCTGATGCTTATAAACTGTTAGATGAAAATCCGAATCATGTAATTAAATTATTATTGAAAACAAACCGGGCGCAATGGCTATCATCATCTACCAGACTGAGTGCTGTGAACGCATTATATCATAAAATTGTCTATGAAAATCTAATTGGTGAATGTAAGTTTAAATACGCTTTTCCAAACGTCGATTCTTTTGAAAACTAAACATGTTTTTCTCTTTAGCTGCTGACACATTTAAGTGTAAATTATGTGCTGCTAATACAAAAGCCTATTGAACTGAACGATCATTGTGAGTACTTTAATCAGCTGTCTAAACAAGCTAAATTTGCTTTTGTTGTTTTTTTTAGAATAAAGCACTTCGAGACCAGACATGCAGGTGATGTGAAAATACAATTAGTAAGTGTTTTAAGAGCAAGAGATCAAACTAATTACGAATTAATAAACCTTTTATCTTTCAGGAAACATTATGTGTAATAAGATAAATAGCCTGGTGATGATTTTTAGTATTTTTTTTCATTTTTAATCAGAAGACTTTTGTGCTTTCTTTAGTAGTGAGATTTCATAACACAGCTCACACTGAATGTAACTTTCATTTTCACATAAATTTTCCACGTGACTTTTTTAATTTTTCATACTTTTACGATCAATAAAACTATATAAACCTACACAAGTTTTGAAAGTAAGCAAGCAATATGTCTTACCTGGGGCTACATATTACGTGCGTTCATTGGCATTGCTTTTCATTTGAATAGAGCTATTTAGATTTATTTACTTTTGTAAATGATACATCGATCTAGTACAGATGAAATTGAAAGTGTTTCTGTTCATGGTTAGACCTTACTCATTCAAAAAATAAAATATATTCATTCGATCTCATGCTGCTTCCAGACCTCTCTTTTGTAGCAAGGCGGATCTGGAGAGAGTTCTAGAACAAAAAATGTTAACTATACTTCCTCTCTCGCGACCAATATGATTGATAACACCTATGTATAGAGATGTTAACTGATCGTTTAGAGAAGAACGTAATGTATGTTTTTGAAATTTCGTTTATAAGATTTAGTAGTAGATGGGTGTGCTTAAGAGACGTTTCGCATGAGGCACGTCCAAAGGTGCAGAATTCACTTTCATCAATGAAAATTGAAAGCTGTCGTTTTTTCGAAATTTCGCTACCTTTCGAAAAACGTTCGGTATCTCAGCTCCACGTGGTTCTCGAACCTTTGGACGGTGGTTTTCGTAATCAGCGGATCAAAGTACGCATAGAGAAGTGTATTTCGCGGTTCCAGAGCTACGAGAAGTGTTTAAACTTTGATCAAACTTTAGAGGCCTTTGATTTTGACACCCTCCGATTGTAAACCTATCAGCGACCTCATATCGAACGATAGACCCTTCATTTTTACACCATTCCAACCGCCTTGAAACATAGAACAAAGTTATAGATTTAGTCTTTTAATTTTGGTTCTTGACTCTTGAAGACCCGGTTCTCGGGAAAATCAGTTTTTCAGAAACTCGAAAAAATGACCAAAACCTTTTCTTAATGTGGCATGATTTTAGCCTGGAATTTCTGATTAAAATGAGACGTCTCCCAGCTCTGCACGACCTTTTTCTAGAAAGTTATAGAATTTACAAGAAAAGCCCGAAATTAATTTCTTATTTCTGTAGCTTTGAGCTAACAATGAATATTTCGGGCTTTTCTTGTAAATTCTATAGCTTTCCAGGAAAAGGTCGTGCAGAGCTGGGAGACGTCTCATTTTAATCAGAAATTTCCAGGCTACAATCATGCCACTTCGAGGCCTTTCTCCTGATCGTTCGAGTTGAAGTTCGACCTGAAAGATTGAATGAAAAATATTTTGTTTTGCAACAGATGTATAAGGTTGACGAATGACTCGTTTATTGGATTTCGACTTCATTTTAAGCGTGAACAGTTGCTTTTGGACTCAAGATTTGATAGCTGATTATTTATGAGTTAATCAGCTGTCTCCTGGGAGATCAGATTTACTGAGCTTGAACTGAAAATTTGACTTGTCCTGTCTGATCTAATCAGTTCTACCAGCAATTCTATCGAAAATATTCTACAATAGGCTTTTTAAAAAATAATGTTATTTGTCATTCAAGTTATGATGCTCCATTCATTCTGAACTGAAAGCTTCTTCCTTATGTGCTGATTTACTAGGGCTTTGTTAACATAAAGTGACGACCCAGGTCTCTTACACACCTCATGGTTTTCGATTTCTTCTAGCGGGCAAAGGATCGGGAAGACTGGGCCGAAATGGTCTCAAAACATGGTGTTGCAGGCATTCTCGAATAGGTGAATTCAAAAAAAAAATGAATTGAAAAAAAAAAAAGTGTGAAAATACGCATTGCTGTTCTTGGTCATGGCGGGAAAAGCCATACAATAAATACATTACGCTGTTTAGCCGAAGATCATGAGAAATCAGCTCCGTCCCTTCCTGGTATAAAACCTATAACATCCGAAACGAAGGAATATCCCAATCCACGCCATCCTTTGCTTGTGTATTCTGATAGCCCTGACGTATGACTACAACAGCGTTTATTCTATGATAATGATCATCGTCCTTTCTGTAAAAATACAATTTCTGTGTTCCGTACACACATAAATTTCTTCGTTCTGTTGTTCTGTGTTGAGTCATATACACATATATGACCATGTTATATCTGATTAGGGAGGGATATCTATTTTTAACCACCAGGGGTGAGAGTAAAAAAATCGAAATACCTGCCAGGTTTTTCAGGTGAGCGCCTAAAATTTTTTTGCCAGAAACAATTTCATTCGATACATTGAGCAATTCTTTTGTAACAATGTTCATGATACTCTACTTTTTTGCACCTTAGGGATATCTTAAGGGAGGATTCGTAAGGGATGCCAAGCATCATGCAAAGTACCCGTAACATAATCAAAAATTCAAACGATTTTTTATGATCTCATTAGATAAAGCGTTCAAACTTACCCATAAAACCCAAGTTTTTAAACCTTAGAGCCTAAAAATGAGTGAGTTACCGATTTTATACAAAAAGCCTCAGAAAAAAATCGACACAGTAGACTTTTATCATATTTTAATTTTTTTCCATTGAGAGTATTACAAGGAACACAAAGTATAAATTTCTCCCCATGCATACCAATTGCTATCTACTTTTTTGGGTAAATGGCAGGACTTTTACCATAAATGTTTCAATTTTGTTTGCAGCTAAATTCATTTTATTTTATTTGTAATTTATTTACAATAGATATTTCGATCCTACCGCATCATCGTCAGCAAGCAGCACTATGGACAGGCCATATATAAAATTCTGACGATGATGCGGTAGCATCGAAATATCTATTGTAAATAAATTACAAATAAAATAAAATGAATTTAGCTGCAAACAAAATTGCTATCTAAAACTTTCATCTATCAGACTCTATCGTTCAATAAAAACATTCTTCAATACACTACACTACACAAGGCCAACAGCATACTGCTTTCAGCAGGTTAATACTATGTACAAAACTTCAATAGCAGTTTTTTTTGAGAATGAAATAGTCTGTGTCAGAACTGAAGTTTTGAAAAAGCTGATGAATGATGTTAATTCTGGTGGTATTAATATCGTAACTCATTTTGTAGACAATTGAACGCGCTACAAAATGCGTTAAAACTGTTCTATCATAACAGGATTTGGCTGCGTGGTAGCTATTTTACTAGAAAAAAAACAAGTCACTTGTTTTTTTTTGTTAAGGTTAAGACACTTCAAGTGTCTTAACCTAACAAATTTCAATAAGTTGAATTTTTTTGGCCATTAACTTATGACTTGAGCCTCTTGAAACTAATCAAACTTGTTCAGATTTTTCTGCTCATTCGATTCATGTGTAACTCGGATTTTCAAAACAGGAAGCAAAACAAGAAAAAATTAAAATATGATAAAAGTCTACTGTGTCGATTTTTTTTCTGGGGCTTTCTGTATAAAATCGGTAACTCACTCATTTTTAGGCTCTAAGGTTTAAAAACTTGGGTTTTATGGGTAATTTTGAACGCTTTATCTAATGAGATCATAAAAAATCGTTTTAATCTTGAATTCTTTGGAGGATTCGCAGTCATATATTTTTAGAGCAGGATCGGCAGGTATATTAGGATATCATTTGTATTGATATGTGTAATTAGCCATTTATAATAAAATTCTTTTTACATAATTTGTGTAGAAATAGAAGAAAATCGTCTCTAGTATAAAACTTTTTGGAAATTTCAGGTATTTCAGGTTTTTTGCCCAAAAGTAAGGTGGTTTTCGGGTTTTCCCAAACATTTCAGGTATTTCAGGTTTTTCAGGTGAAATCTCACCCCTGAACCACGTAGTATGTGAATTGCTATCGTGATCAAAAAATGAACCCCCTACCAAAATAAGAAAATACTTTTCACATAAGTGAATGACACAAAAAACGTCTTCTTTTCAAGTCACCGTCTCAAAAAATTACATTTTTATCAACGAACATGTCAACACATTGTTCATATTCATTACAAAAAATAACGATGATAATCATCAATCCTTCTGGCATAACACAACTTCTTCCTTACATGTGTGATCACGTTATATGTGAGTAAGAGTACGTATTTTTGACCACGCAGTATGTAAATAACTATGCCATGATCAAAAATGGACCCCCTGTCAAAAGTAGAAACGATTGCAAGCACAGCTGAAAAAGTATTTTTAGAAAAGGAGGACTTACCAGCTTTTTCGTAATTGTCGAACTGTACATTCGGATGCAACTGCTCGTTACAAATGAACTTTATTCTGGTATATATATACCGCTAGAATACCAAAAACATATTTTTTCTTCTTCTCCCTATCGCCTCCACAAAGGATTTCGTCCATTTTTCTGCCTGAAAATTCACTCTCCCTTTTAACACAACTCTACTTCCATAAAATTTTCATTCTCCCTTTCGAAACATTTTCATTTACAAAAAGTTCAGCGCCTAAATTCTCTCTCCCTTTCACCAACGAGTACTAAAGTACAAATCTTTTGTCGTTTCTGACATTTAGTTTACATGAATTATTTTCTGCACATTTTAAACTAAAATCTGTATGTTTTTCATCGTGGATATATCATTTTTCACTCTAGGCAAACTGTTTGCACACGGTTTTGTAGAGAACTGAATGACAATTCTTTGAAAAAATGTTTAGCTGGATAGCTTTTAAACTAAGAGAGATAATTAGAAAATCAAAACGGCGCCATTATTTATGGAATATCCATTACCTTCAATCCTCTTGTTCATCTTAGTTGTATATTTCCTTTTCACCGTGTTTATAATGTACCAAGACATCCAGATGTTTGTCTCTGGACACAGCAAAATTCGTGCCTGTTATGGCACATATTAAAGAAGTGCCATAAGAGAGAATTGTATGATAGGTATCATACATATATATATATTCGTTCTCTTTCTTGCTGTCAGGAATTTCCCCAGTGTTATTTCTTATTGTCTACTATATGTATCTTTTTCGTTCTCTTTCTTTCTATCAGGATTTTCCCCAGTGTTAGTTCTTAGTTTCTTTATTTTCTGTGATCTCTAACATGTATCCCCAGTTTCCCAGTGTATTTTATCAACTCTAGAATATTCCGCTTTTCGTGTAAACTTAAATATAAATATACGCTAGTTTTGTGCAAAAGATTATCTTATTCAGTTACTAAATAAACTACATATACACAACAACGTATACCGGACCTAACAGTGCCAATTTTTCGTTTTTCAATACACAACAGTCGATTGACAGTTTTGGTAAAAATTAATTTCAGGTATACCAATGGAGAAACTTCGTTATTGTCATCTATATTTCTCGTAGATCAAACGGGAAAGAACATGAGCTTTTTCTCTGAATTCTACCTCCAAAAGACCTGGAAGATTAGAGCACATGCAAAAAAAATCATCAGTTTTAATCAGTAGTCAAGCATAAAAATTTATTGGCTTTTCGATAAAATTCAGCATACTAATAAGTACCGCTCTATGAAGGAAACGAGAAACAAGCAAACTGTTGTGTATACTATTCCTTTTAGTCCATTTTATAGAAGAAAACAACACTAAAGAACTTTGAAACGTCAAGAAAAGTAAAAATATTCACCTTAAGCACACTAATCTTCTTCTAAAGACAGATAAAAACCTCCGTATGGCGGCGGCCGATTTAGAGGCGAGACATAGCTCATCACACTCAAACTTTACATTATTGCTTTCCATCGAACTGACCGTTTTTTATTTTTAAATGTTTTTATTGATGACAGATGACTTAGGGTTGTAATATATTCATCATACAACTAATATGGAATAGACACAGTTTAAAAGTCAATTACGAATCGCATCCAGATAGATAATACATGGTCAGTATAGGAAACTATCCATTCTTTTGCTAGGTGTGTTTTTTCTCGTAGCCATGACAGAATATCATGGTTTAGATGAAACATTTTTATATCCGCTGAGTATGTCCTCAGATACGTTAGGTGAAGTAGTTTTTCCAATAATACAGGTAAAATAATGTAAATTTCGTTGATCGTCTTAATATTAATATAAAAAAATTGAATATTTGAGAATTGTTCGCAAAATATTTCGACCACATCAGGATTAAAATCACCATCATTTACGACTAATTTTAACTTTTTTAACATCTTGTTCATAAGCGAACATAATTCTGGAAATGATAACAAATATTTCTCGAATATGTCATACTCAATCTCCAATGAATCAACGTTGACCGATCGAGTTAAAATTTCGAATATAATTCTAGGATCTAAATTTTCAAGTACTGATAATTTCGTTAAATTTGACCATAAAATTAATTTGCTCAAATCAGCTAGAAATGTAGCCGATAGTGTTAATGGTAGAGGCCTTAATTTCATACCAAATCGATGAATTCCTAGCCTATAGACATTTGGATATTGGCGACTTTCTGGAATTTGGTTGGTGGTTGGCGTTACGATAACTAAAGAGTCAATCTTATCATAATTGCCTAGCGACGAAAAATTCAACGGTATAGTTGAGCTTGATCTTAACGTATCATACTGAATATTAACATACGCAAATGGACATGGTATTGTGTATACAGAAAACCAAGTGACTAAAAAGTATAAAAAAGCACCATCTATTAAGGTTTGCCTCAGTATCATAGGCATGCACTGGTTAACCGTCAATAACCGTTTTATAACAGCAATATCGCCTAGTATGTCTGGTTTTTAGTTCTACGATTACCCTTACCGGGTGAGAATAAAAAATAAATGTAAAACAAAAGACGAAAAAGAGGTTCCTGCAGAGATTCGAACTCAGTATACAAAGATTATTAATGCTCTCCGTACGCCACCGTACCACAACTAAAGATACATGACAAAGTTCTGGTTAATCAATAAATTGAACAACTTTAATTAGATTAGCGTAATTAGCTAAAAACTATTTGACAAAACCTGTTGCATACCTGACTCTGCTTCCGAATAATAATCACAAATAAAGTACCACTTATGGCTATAATAGTAATTTGTTTTAAATGTAGATAATATTGTATCCATATTAGCAATGACTTCTTCTGGTTTCTCGTAACGAACACGAAATCGAATTGAAAAAGAAAATTTTTCTAATGTCGGAACACATGTCGATAAAATGTTTTCCCAAAAGTCACCATCTAGAATGCTGTGAGTAGTCCAGTAAAACCCGATTGAGGAAAATGAAAACTGTTTAAGTTGAGGTAAATATTTTAAGATTGCTACAATTTCACTAAATGGCTCATAATGACCTTTCATGTCTAATGTAAAACGTGTCAAATGTTGAACGACGACCATACTATTCAATCGCGAAGCTGCATCAACTGTACATGGTTCTTCATGCAACCTGAGAGATTCACGATACAGTCGTATTTTTAAACTGCGAATTTTTGGTATATGACAAAACAACTGTTTTATATCATCCGGTGAATAGACACCGATGATTAATTTTTCTATATTTGTTGTGGCATTCTTAAGATTGTCACTAAAATAATCTCGATATAGTGGTAATTTGCAATATTTTAAAGACTGCATTTGGGTGCTAAATGAAATAAACATACCATACAGTGCACATGTTTTAACCTCAAATGTTACATCATCTTTGAAAAAGTACGTTTTAAAACTACTGAGTTAAAATATAGAAGTTTGTATGCTCCTTCCAACTATCAGTATGAAAATGCTTGAGGGCTCTAGTTAAGGTCGAAATTCTCTATGCTGCCACTTATCAAAGATAATATTCATGATAAGCAATGTAGTTTTGTAGTAAGTTATCCGCAATTGTTAGAGTCACACTATTGCATTCGTATATTTCTGTCAGTTAAAATTAAGCAGCCCTTTCTATCAGGTTTTCTCATCTACATCAAGGGCACGAGCTTTGGACATGATTTGTTTAACGCCAAACTTAATCATAAACTATTTCTTTTTCGTTTTTTGTTTTACATTTA